CCCAAGAGTTTTAGGTTTTCACTGTTGCTACTTACTGCCATGACTCAGAGCCAGTAATTATTTCTTATCCGTAAAAATGGAGGTTGATTACAGTAATATTTAATTCTGTCAGGTTCTGAAGATATATGGTTTCTCCTCCCTTTTGCTTTCTCCAGCCCTTTCCCCTGTCACACACACGTACACCCTCCCCCAGTGTCAATGTTGACCTGCAGGTGCTAAGCATGACCCAGAGAAATAGGAAACTTGACCCAGAAAGCAACAAACGCAGAAAAAATAATGGGAAAAGATAGAGAGGCTCTGGGAGGGAAAAAGAGACTCGCATACAAGTGATAAGGAGGCAGAGAGGCACAGAGAACCAGAATGTGACAGGAGAGAGAAAAGACCAGCACGGAAGGAGGAAGAAAGTGGAAGAATGGTCATTCTTCTCTTTCTGAAGGAAGAGGAGAAAGGACTGAAGGAAAGAGCCGTGGAGCGGTGGAGACCCATGGGGAGAGGATCAGAGGGACAGAATGAGGAGAAGACACAGAAGGGAAAGAGGTGGGAGCCAAGGAGAGACAGGTGATGGTCTGCAGTGCTGGGAAGGTGGGGTGGGAACTGCAGGAGGGCTGCCCAGGGCCACTGCACCTCAGACAGCTGGTGGAGACCAAACAGGGGAGGAGAGGGACAGACGCCGTAGGGCAGGGGTGTGGAGAGAGGAGAGATAAGGAGCTGGAGGTGGAGAGCAAGAAGGTGGGCGAGTGCAGACCAGACAGTGACAGAGGAGTGGAGGCTGAGATGGCAGGAAGGTGAAGGAGCGATTGGGCCAAGGGTCAGGTTCAAGGGGGAGACCCAGGGAAAGCCAGGGGGGAGATCCATGTGAATCACGGAGACGGCAGAGGCAGAGAAGAGGAGGACCAGGGATGGGTAGAGAGAGGCCTTGCCGCAGACTCATGCTGTGGTCCGGGGAGTGATACACAGGGTCAACAGGCAAGAGGGGCAGAGTGCTGAAGATCAGTCAGCACAGCCAAGCCAGAGCTGCAGGAGGAGGGGCAGAGAGACAAACACTTGGAGGCAGAGAAACAGAGCAGCAAGCAGAAACAGAGGCAGAAAGAGATGGGCAGAAAGGGATGGAAAGCAAGACAGAGAAAGAGAGGCAGAGACAGAAGATCGCAGGCCAGAGAAAGACAGGCAGACAGACAGTCGTGCGCACACTCACACAGACGTGGGGAAAGAGACAGGCAGCTGGTGAGCAGGACTGCAGATCAGGCTGGGCTCCTCCCCGACCTTGCTGCAAGGCTGGGCGAGGCAGACAGCCAGTAGCCTCGCTTTTCCCCAGGATGGTTGGGGGCATGCTGTCCTAAATTTATAATCCCGCGGGGAAGGGGGTTGTGGGCAGGACTCCCTCAGACTCAGGGGCCACTCCTGAGTGGCATGTGTCCATGGGGCCCTAGTCAGGACAGTCTCTGCAGCCTCTAGCCCAGGCTCCCACTAAAGGGTGTCACCCCCCAGAGACCTCAGGCTGTGCCTTCTGGAGGCCCAGGTCTGGCTAGGAGAGATGAGGCCCAGGTCTGGCTAGGAGAGATGAAGCCCAGCCAGCTGGGGAGGGTGTGTGTGGGGCTCAGACAGTGCCCTGAGGGCAGGTCTTTTCTCAGCTATCCCTCCTTTCCCAGGGGGGAAAAAAAAATAAGGCACCCTGGGAGGTCTAAGGTGATGGAGGCCAAGAAATTGTCCTCTCCCCCTGCCAAGTGGCATCCCCAGGGCTGTTTCATCCATTTGGTACTGCAGACAAAGTGTCTAGGGTCTTTGGGCTTTCATAATCTACAGATGTGTCAGAGACCCTAAAGCAAAGAATATTTGCTGAAAAACAGAGATCTCACAAAATAAAAATTAGTAAATATTTAAATGACTTTTAATATAACATTTTGTCAAGTTAATGTGAGCTCATTCAACTTTTACATAGTTACATAGTAAGTGATACATTAATAATGTCTTTTAAAAAATTTTTTCTTAATGTTAATTTATTTTTGGGAGAGACAGAGACAGGATGTGAGTGGATTAGGGGCAGAGAGAGAGGGAGACACAGAATTCGAAGCAGGCTCCAGTCTCTGAGCTGTCAGCACAGAGCTCGACGCGGGGCTCAAACCCACGAGCTGTGAGACATGAATTAATGAGCTCAGTGAAATCTTTGATACATGTTCATTTAAGAAAAGCCATAAAGGAAAAGATTCATAAGTTTATTAAAAATTCTATTTATTAAAAGTCATTATTCCATTCATCAGAATAAAAAGAAAAGAATACTCTTTAGCAATGAAAACAAATCAACATGATAAATGTCAAAACCTATTATTGAGTGAATACATCAAGTTACAGGAAAATATATATTGTATAATTCAATTTAAAAAATCACTACGTATCCATAAAAAGGGATGAGATCTTGCCATTTGTGACAACATGGATGGACCACTTAGAGGGTATTATGCTAAGTAAAATAAGTCAGGCTGAGAAAGACAAATACCATATGATTTCATTCATACGTGGAATCTAAAACACAAAAGAATAAACATACAAAAAAAAAAAAAAGCAGAATCTGACCTATAAATACAGAGAACAAACTGATGGTCGCCAGAGGGTAGGGAGGTGGGGGGGATGGGCAAAATGGACAAAGGGAAGTGGGAGATGCAGGCTTCCAGTTATGGAATGAATAAGTCATGGGAATAAAAGGTATAGCATGAGAAACATAGTCAATGATATTATAATAGTGTCCTATGGTGACAGAGGTAGCTACACTTGTGGCAAGCACAACATAATGTGTAGAGATGTTGAATCACTATGTTGTACACCTGAAACTATGTCGTGTGTCAACTATTCTAAAAAATAAAATAAAATAAAATGAGAATATGACCAAAAATAGAGTGTTAAAACCTTTTAAGAAATCATGAAAACACATAATAGTTTAATAATTGTATTTCTTTAAAAATATTAATAAAAACAATTTAAAATCTTTTAAACCCTAAAATATAGACATTGAGATGTTTGTTAACAGTAATTATCTCCAGGTCTAAGGAGATAAGTAGACTTCACACCCAATGTAGAGCCCAACATGGGGCTTAAACTTACAACCCTGAGATCAAGACCTACACAGAGATCAAGAGTCAGACACCCACCCAGGCACCCCCCTCATTGTCTTCTTTTTGTTTGCATCTGTTTTATAAAAGTTTAAGAATAAATATTATATTACTTTTGCAATAAAGAAAACAAGCAACAAACTGAGGAAAAGATATCTTCAATGCATGTAACAAACAAAGAAGCAATACCCAAAATATATAATAAACTACAAATCAAGAAAAGAAAAGGCAAACAGAATCTCATATTCTCTGAACATTTACAATTTGTTTTTCACTATGACAAGTGCTTGACATGTATTGTCTCATTTAATCCTTCCAACAAACTTCTGATGTCTATACTATTTTCTTCCTATTATCAGATGAGGAAACTGAGATTCAGAGAAGTTAGGTACCTTGCCCATCACCACTGAGTTAGTAAAGGGTAGGGCTGGGATTAGAACACAGTAGTCTGAGTCCAGAACTTACTACCCAGTACTACCAAGAATCTTATGAAAAAATGCTAAATTCATTAGCAATCAGGGAATTACAAACAAAACAAAAAAATGATTTTTACCACTTTCCATCCATGAGATAGGTAAAAGTTTAGGATGTTTGAGATAGATAAGTAGTATCAAGTGTTGATGAGAACTGGAGGTGTGTATCCGTATAATTATTTGGAAGAATAATTTAGGAGTTTTTAGTAAACTTGAAATTGCTTTGATCTACAATCTATAATGCCAAGTCCATCACTATATACAAATCCTAGGAAAACAGTACTTACAATGGAGAAATGTTCAAAGAAAAATTGGAAAATAAATGTTCAACAATATAGGATTAGGTAAATGAGAAGTGTTATATTTAAATACTCACTGCAAAGAATGAATTAGGCTTGTGTATATTGAATGGGTAGATGTCAGAAACAAGATGTTGAATTATAGTGTTTTCAGAATAATATGGATATCATGCTACCATTATAAATTTTCAAATTCATGCAAGAACAATTCTATGTGTTGATTATGGATGCAATGGTCTGTAAGCAAAAGTTTAAAGTTTAAAACTACATGGAGTAGACCTCAGTTTAATGATAGTGGTTGACTCAGAGGAGCTGAGAATATTCAAAGGGCACTTATTTTTTTAGATTTATTTAATTATCGAGAGAGAGAGAGAGAGAGAGAGAGAGAGAGAGAGAGAGAGAATCCCAAGCGGGCTCCACACTCAGCCCTGAACCCAACACAGGGCTTGATGCCACAAACCATGAGATCATGACCTGAGCCAAAATCAAGAGTCAGATGGTTAGCTTACTGAGCCACCCAGGCACCCCAACAAGTGTTTATTTGGGATTTGGAAAAATGGGGCCTTTGTTATTTTATTTCTATTACTTCTCTTTGTGAGTCTCTGCCTCTTTATCTCTATATAGAGATAGAAATATGCATGCAGATATATAGAGGTACATATACACATGTTTTTATTTTATGAAATACATATAGTATTTATTTTCTCAAAATAAAAGTGAGATTTAAATAGTAAAATCAGGTAAGAGTATCAGAAGCTGAGTCCAGGTCAAATCAATTATTAGCCACATTGTTACACAGATGTGTGTAAAATAGTTCTAGCTTGGAATTTATAGCTCCTAGTGCAAAAAACAATGTTAATTATTACTTGTAAGTGCATGTCAGACAGTAATGCAAGACTGTGCTTCCGTATGATCTGTCTACTCTTTACATGATTTTTATCCCAAATCCTCTACACTGTAGAAAAGCATGTGTGCATGTTAAACATTTGACTGTGATCTGATTGAACTGACAGAAACTTCCAGAGGGTGAAGAGAGAATCCAGGAAAAGCAATAAAGCGATGGCCTTGAACCATGACATAGTCATTGTTGTCCATGACTCTGGGCAACTCTGAAACATCCTGGGTCACTGAGATGCCCTTCTGTTACCAAATACATTCAGAAAGGCCCCCTTTACATCTTTGTTCCGGAGGCTGTAGATGATGGGGTTGAGGAAGGCAGAGACAACATTGTAGAACAGAGCTAGCTTCTTGTCCCGCTTTGGGTCATACCAGGAGCCAGGCCTCATGTACATTATCATGGCTGGCCCATAGAACATAATGACCACAGTAATGTGGGAGGCACATGTGGAGAAAGACTTGAGCCTCCCGTGGGATGAGTGGATTCTTAAGATGGAGGCAAAGATGCAGACATAAGAGACCAGGATGAGGGAGAATGGGACCAAGAGCAGGGTGAAACCCAAGATGAAGTCCAAATGGTCATTGAAGGATGTGTCTGCACAGGCCAACTTTAGGACGGCAGGGACCTCACAAAAGAAGTGGTTTATCTTGTAGGGGCCACAATAAGGCAGACGCATGGTGAAGACAGTGTAGATCAGGGCCCCAGCTATGCTAATGGCCCAACAGCCTGTGACCATCTTGATACAAATGGAGCGGCCCATGAGCAAAGGATAGTGAAGGGGGAAGCAAATGGCCACATACCTGTCATAGGCCATAATGGCATAGAGCACACACTCAGCAATGCCCAGGACCAAGAAGATGAACATTTGGGCTACACAAGCTCCCCAGGAGATGGTTTTCTTTGGACACACCATATTAATCAACATCTGGGGCATGGTGGTAGTGACATAGCTCATGTCCACCAAGGAGAGGATGCTGAGAAAGAAGTACATGGGTGTGTGGAGGTGTGAGTCCATGTAGATCAGGGTGATGATGAGTCCATTGCCCAGAAGAATGATGAGGTAGAGGAGAAGGAAGAAGGAGAACAGGGCTATTCTGACCTGTGACTCACTGGAGAAACCAAGGAGGATGAACTCAGATACAAAGCTGTGGTTCTCCTTGCCGAGGCTCTGCATAGTGATCTGTCTATTAAGGAGACAAGGACTTCCCTGTCCTGTCCTTGGCCTTGGGGGAAGGAGGACAGAGTTGACAGAAGCTGAGTCATACACACATAGCACCTTTGCACAGTAGCTCACATGGATTTCATCAAACCTTTGTTGAGTTGGATACGAAGGGAAAGAAAGATGGGCAGCTCTGTCACTGGCAAGTAAGTCAGGAGATCTGGATTCATACCTGTAATATTATATAGGATGCCTGACTGCCCACCGGTCCTTCTCTGGAAACTATCCTCACCCATAGAAGGCAAGGCATTAGGTAGCCATGTTTGTAGCAGGGGACCTAGCCAACCCCTGGCCACTGCTGAATTCTATCAAGGGTGTACACCTGCCCCAGTCTGGAGGGCAATTCTCTGAGAATTCAAAATGACAACACTAGAAATCTATGTCAGTGAGCTGTGGGTGCCTGAGGTACTAAAACCAGAGTCAGTGTGGTGGTAGCCAAAGTTACAGGGGAGTCGACACTATAGAGAAAAAAAAGTGGACATCTTGCAGAAATGATTAAGAGTAGACATGCTGGGCAGCAGAGAAGAGACCTCACAGAGAAGAGACCCCAGTCACTGAGAGCATGACTCTGGCTCCTGACTTGCTACCTCCAGTTCCCCCTTTGTTTCCTATGCTTGGATACCTGTGGGATTTTCTGTTGAATCCTTACAATTACTACCCCATGACCACATTTTAAATTCAGCTCTTCTTGAATGTCCCAGGGTTGTCACTTACCCAGCTGTGTGACCTTGGGCAAGTATCTTCACTTCCATTGGCCTCAGTCATCCCACCTGTTAGAGATGAAACATCTGTGGTACAGAGTAATGGCAAGGAGCATATAAGATTCTGTATGTCAAGACATTTGGCAAAATATAAAACACTAGACAAGTAAAGGGGTTAGTATAAGTGGAGTGAGTCTGGAAATCACAAGAACAAAGGGCTGGTCCTAACTCTGTCCTGGATTTGCTATGTTCATAGCCCCATTTATTTTTATTTTTATTTAGAGAGAGAGAAACAGGGGAGCAGAGAGAGAATGAGAGAGAATCTTAAGCAGGCTCCATACTCAGTGTGGAGCCTGAGGTAAGGCTCAATCCCACAACCCTGAGATCATGACCTGAGCCAAAATCAAGAGTCAGACCTCAACCAACTGAGTAACCCAGGTGCCTCAACAGCCCCCTTTTTAAGTGAGGCTGTTGGACTTGCCCACTCCAAAGGAAACTTTCAGCTCTGCTATTCTTTGATACAGAAATACCAGCCTGGAGCCCTGTGATCACATCAGTGCCATGAACACCACGGGGAAGGTTGAGCTGGGAAGTCAGCTGAACAGGATTGTGATTGCAAGAGATTCCTTCTGGGAGTTGGAGACATGAGGCCAGAGCAGAATACACAGAGCATAGATAGACTTCGTGTCCACAAATCTGAGTCTTGTAGCCTCTTTACCTGCTCCTAAGTCACTTAGACTCCAGAGTCCCATATTCTTCATCTGTAATACCTCCTCCATAGTGGAGGTTGTGTGAAATATACCTGGTCTATTGACAGTGCTCCACAAAAGGGAGGGATTTAGATAACGGGCAACTGAGTGGAAGGAGCAGAGAGGAGCTATCCTGGCATTTTCAAGTATCTGAGGTTTCAGAGGACAGGGCTGAAAACACAATTGTGAGGACTGATTGCTACAGGGTGCTGGTGGGAATCTGGAAGGTGGGAATGTTGTTTGAGGCTGTTTGGGCAAAAGAAAATGGTATGATGGTATGTGCAGAGCTTTAGGGAATACCAGGAATTGGATGAAGAAGAAAGAGGGCTCCTATTAGGAGTGGTTGTGAAGGAGAGAGAAGGGAAGCTCAGAGTCTTAGACATTGAGGGGAAACTTCCAAGACATAAGAACTGGTCAGCAGTGCCAGGCCAACCCCAAAGCCGGATGATGAGGGCTGCAAAGGAGGAGGAGATCACATACTTCTTTCCATCTGTCCATACCCCAGACTGGGCTTTTTCAGGGGCTGCTTCCTGGTCCCCTTCCTAGTCCACCCACCAGCCACCAGTACTGTCTCATCTGTTATGCCCTTTCTCATGGTTCCTTAGCCTGGAATTTAAGGGCTCTCCCATCTGATTCTAACCAATCTTCAAGTCTGCGATTCACCAATACCTAAATGAGACTTCTGAGCCATGATATTAACAGCATGGTTACCAAAAGGATCATAGTCTGGGCAGCTGGGGGGCCCTCCTATCTGAGCTACAGATCTTCCAAGGTACTGGCTTTTTCAGTATCAGCCATACATGCCATGTGGATCTGTATCTTGCTTCCCTCAAGCTGTTTATCTGCTGGGAATGCCTTCTATAACCCTTTTTGCTTCTCCACATCCCCCCTACCTTCACAGCTCAGCCTGGGGTTTCTAGCCTTGTAGATCTTACATATTGTGTTCCCAGCCAGGCTGTGGGCAGAGGCTATATCTCTTCAAGATCTCTCCACAGTATCTAGCAGGGACTGCAGACTGCTTTGGGAGCCTGTTCCAGTGCTGGGTCTCTGGCTGCATAGCCTGCCAGGCTCTAACCACTATGCCTACTGCCTCTCTCAAAGGACCCATGAAGAAATTATTACATCAAGCCCTCAGGCTAGGAAAACACCATATTCATACCCATTCTCCTTTCTCCACCTGCCAACACTTATCTGTCCCTTCCTGGCCTCTGCTCTTTGGGTGCAGAAAAAGGAAGAGAATGCCTTGTCAGGGGCCCCAGCACACATGCTGGGCATGGGGCTGGTATGGTGCTCCTGAGAGGGACTTGTGCAAGGCTAGAAAGTGCACTGGAGATCCCACTCCTGTTCAGTGAGGGCAGGCGCTCCCTACACTTCTCACCCAGTGAGCTGGACAGAGAAGACTGGGCTCCTTTGTCATTCTTGGGGGTGCCCATGGAAGGAAACCCTCCAACCCTTCCCTTAGTCCCAAGTACAAATGACCAGCACCCTGTTCTTCTGCTTGAGTAGCCTCCTTCACTCCTGTGGCCCCAACAGCCTGCTTTCTCTTGGTCTCATACAGTATAGAAGCAGTTCACTCCTTCACCTTAGCACTGTGGCCCTTCAGAGGACACCTCGTCCTCTCTTAAGTGTGCTGAATGCAGAGCAGTCCTGGAGGTAGGTGCTTCCAGCTGACAGCAGACACAGAGGTCCTCTTTGCATTAGCATGGGTTGGAGAGTGGATTTCTGATCCCTAGTAAGCCCTGAGGATTCTCTGTCCATGCTGGTAAATGCAGCACAGAGCCCCTGGGCTGGATAAAAGCCTCAGCCAGGGAGTTTAATGCCACAAGACACTTTGGGTGTGGCCCCTGGAGCTAGTGAGCTGGGCATCCTTCTTAAGTTTCCACTGGGGACTGAAACTTCCCCCAACTGAGACTCAGAGGAGGGAGGAGTCCTATGGCTGAGCTGCCACATCTCTGTATGACACAGTGATAGTACTCATAAGATGTGTTTGTTTCCTTCCAAAGCATGTGTGTGTGTCTTTATGTCCTCAAGCATCTTATCCACGGCCGCATGCCTAAGGCTTGGGTGTGGATAACATAAATGCTGCTAATACCTCCTAGTGTCCTTGTCACTGCCATTTATTGAACTCTACTATAATCCAATGCCACAGATCTCCTTGTTGTGTAAATGCTACCAACCTTATTACTGTAGCAATAATTGCCTACTATTGAACACTCACTTTTATCAGATGGTACACTGGGCACTACACATAATCTAACTAGACCTCACAACAAGGTCAGTAAGCCATTTGATAGTAGGAGTATAAGAGAATTAAGTGGCTTGCTCATACCTCCTAGTAGATAAATTACATAGTCTGAATTTTAACCTAGATCTGCCAAATTCCAAATCATTCTACTGTAGCATCTCTATGACCAAGGTGAAGTTCTGGTTTACAGGGTGTGTACAGTCAGGCTGTAGAGTGTCTATAAGGCTGGATGTAGGAGCCAGGTGGCCAAAGGCCAGGAAAGATGTACAGTCTTTCTCAGATCCACTTGGAAGATACTCTCCAACTAAGTTCTCTCTTGGGTCCATCTAGAATTCCAGGAGAGAAAGGCAGAAGACTGGCTTAGCCTCATTAAGTGGTGCAGGACAAGGCTCACTTGAAAGGAACATGCCTTATGGATGGGAGGCACTGACCAACTATGACAGATGGTGTAGTCCAGCAAGGTATAATTCAAATTCTGAGGGGTGCAGCAATGAAGGTGAAGTTCAGAGCAAAGCCAAATCCAGTTTGGGCACTGGGGGACTTGAGGCCAATGGGGAATACCTTTATCTTGCTAGAAGACAGTGATGAGGAATCCAGGTCAAGTGATACTTAGAGGTCAAGGATGTCTGTCTACAGGACACTGGATGAGAACTGAGGGGCAGAACTGGATGGGGCGTGGTAACTGGGATGGGTCCCAAAAAGAGCAAGTCCCCCTAAAGGACAGGTTCTCAAGGCCAAGACCAAAGAAGTCTTGTTAATATATTTAGAGCACAAAGTTGGACAAGCCAGCAGCTGAACAAAACTGGATGTTATCTCAGATCTATTGCTTGGGTTCCTAGAGATGCAGCATATTTATCCAAACAGCATGGATTTTTAGGGCCGACAAGTCTCAGTTACAGTGCTTGGCTCCATTGGTGGGGAGATAGGTCAGGCAAAGATGGGATTGGGTAGGGTGATCTCATATACTCGTTTTCACGGAACAGTTCTGGTTTATTCCTGTTGTAGATCAATTAACTCCTTTCATTATTTTAAACACTCCCCTTTACTCTCAAAATGTGTCTGACTTTGGGCTTTATGTGGTCTCCTAGATTAGGGGCCTGACATGGGGCAGCCATACCCAGGGCACAGGAAGCAGATGTTGCACGGTATAGTCATAGATTTTGATGTATTTTCTCTCATGACTATTTATCCCTACATCATTCCCTTCCCCAGGCTTAGGTTCTGAAATCCCAGAAGACACAGAGCCAATGTTTGTTGTGT